GCCTCATTTAGTGTTGGTAAGTAGAGAACAGGCAGCCATCTAAAGAGTTCACTCTCTCATTCAGGACTGAGAACATTCGCTTTGCTTATCCATCATACATTTGACAAGCATATTATAAGAAATGGAATTTGCCCCTTCCCCTAAAAGCACTTAAGGTACATTTTGAATTATGTATGTTTTTTATTTCAGTCTTCATATTTTCACAAAAATGGTAACCAATGTATGTTATAATTCCCCACATCCTTTTGTGATGGCTTCAAGTTAAAGTGCTTTTTTCATTCAACCCACAGTCTAAATCCCAAAGGTTTTTAAATTAGCAACTCTTAAAATTCTCGAAGCTAAAAAAAACATTCCTTGGCTGGTGTGCCATCCATCTTGGAAAAAAGCATGAACAAAACATGATCAGAACGGATTAATATGTATGAAGACAATTTGTTGGAGAAATGAGTGTGCTCTGTTTGAATTTTTTGGAGTTTGAAAGAGGTCCAATCTGGTGAGTATAAATAAATTCCTGATGCCGATTAACAAAGAAGGGACTTGCATTTTGGTTGAAATTACTTTGTCTGAATGGAGAGTAATGTTCATTTAGCAACAAACTGCTTTGAAATATTAATATCAGCCCGCGCAACAGAGAATAACACTATTAACAAATAAAAAACAGAATATAAATGAACGCCTTTACTTCTTTATGTTTGATGTGTTTTATTTCAATGCTTGTTTCATGTGTGTTTGTTCGTGTGCGGCAAAAACACTGTGTCACCACCGCGGTGAGGAGAATAGATTTGTAGATAGAACATGTCTCAATGCAGCAGGATTATATTTATACAGAATCCTGTTTTTTCAGCACTACTATTCTAAATAGGCCTGATTGCTAACTCGGGTACTAAAAATGTCTGAGGCAATTTGAAAAGCCATTTTATTCCAACCATTATCTGCAGTGATTGGCGGAAATGGAACACTCAAACCTTTCTAGTGTTTTAATGTAACACCGTGATCAGACAGATATAAGGGAGTTGTCAAGCTGAAAAGAGAATGGACGCCCTGCGGCCGATCAGAGTCAAGTGCTTACTGTGGCCCGGCTAATTCCAAAGATGTTTGCTTTTAAGCACAGAAGGTAATCTAGAATAAGGAGTGATAGAGATTTCCTTGGCCTGGTGTTTGCAGTTACCGTAGAACCTTTTCAACGTATGAAAAGATCAGTCGTGTAAAACCAGCAGGCTGTCTGCTCCGTGCCAATGTGTCAAACCCGAAATGGGTTGGGGGAAAGAGAGAAAAGATAAGCTATAAAGATTAACAAAAGCCTAGAGTAAGTCTGCAACTGATTAAACTAATGAAAAAGTGGCCAATTAATTCGCATCTCATTATAGGAAAGTGTTGTAGCTCAGATAATAAACCTAATATAGTTTTAAAAATGATTCCACACTGCTGTTATTCATAAAATACACCAAATCTCTCTCTCTCTCTCGCTCTCTCTCTCATCACCCCTCCTCTTCCGTACCTCTCAGCGTTTATCTCAGCACTCAATTTTACAATTGAATCAATGGCATTGTAAATGAAGAATTTCAATTGTAGAAACAGTTTGACATTTTGAGTGTTATCCTTATTTGCTTTCTTGGTGAGAGTTAATCAATACCACTCCCACGTCTACATTCTAAATGCGCCGTAGTGAGAGCCAGAGACAATTGGCGTGGGTTAGCATGAAGACTGCAAGTGGGTTGGTCTAAAAATACACACCTCTAGAGCTCACTAATTTATACGAACAATATGATCTGTTTAATCAGTACGCATAATTAGGCAAAATTTGGTGGAACATGGTGACGTTGCCAGACAGCTATAAGTGATGCTAACAGAGGTGCTGGGTGGATGGATACAGTAGATTGTTGTTTGCAAAGAGATCATTCTAACTTAATTAAACTTTTCACTTTTATGGATTAGGCAAACAAGTAAGGGCTAGTAACCCAGACTAGCTAGTTTCTCCCATTCTCTGGTCTTTATGCTAGTGAGCATACTCCCTCATAGCCACATTTAAGGGTCGGATTCGCCCTTCCTATCAAATTAGGTGAATAATTATATTCTAAAAATATCTATTCCTTCAATATTTAGCATTTTAAAATAGTATGTACTGTCTGTGTATAAAAGTATACACTATATAACCACACAATTTGCATAAGTGTTTTTTTATTTTATATATTATTTGGCCCTTAGTCCCATGAGCCTCAGTCAGACCTTAAAGCTTCGGTTCACGAGACTGGGAGCATTTATAATCTCTAATTCTACGGTTCTAAAACCGGTAACGGTGCAAACTAGAACCAACTACGGCTATGCTATCATACGCTGAGATAACAACCCACACAGAGGTGCTCAGGTAGACAGCACTCCACTGTACTTCCACATTGCAGAAACTCGTTTGCTCCAACAGCAGTGCTCGGAAATTCATACAGAGAACCTCTACTGCTTCTTATGAAAGTGTGCTTTCTACTTTGTAGGTTCAATTAAATGTGATGCCATCGATTGTCGACATACTTCTGGCCATGCGGAGTATGTGTGGGCATGTGTGTCAGCGGTAAACTCCAGCTGAACCACACGTTGTCTTTCTACTGCCAATCTCCTCTGTTCTAACGGTGCGCAGTCGTCAATTCGAGGTGTTGATGTTTTCCTGAGTTTGTCAGCAGGTCTGACTGGGGCTCGAAGACGCCTACAGCCTCTCCCAAGGGAAGTGTCACAGTTGGACATGCCCGTCCACCCCGTCCACCCCGCCAACCCATCAAACATAGACACGCACACACATGAAAGGGAGCAGAGACAGACGTCTGTATGAGCGTGGCCTCGCTCACAAACTGAATCTGCTTCTCCTTTACTCCTTAATCTGTCGCTCCCCCTCGCTGTTTTTTCTCACACTCAAATCCACACAAACATGCATGCACACACACAAAAACACGCTCGCACATTGACTAAATTGACTTGTCAGCTTCAATCAGACCAGGAACAAAAGGATTCCTGCCAGTTTGAAGCTGACATCATTAATGGGTTTGGTGGGGGGGGGGCGAGCTCTGAAGACAAAGCGAGTGCAAGGTCGGGCCGACTTAAAATGCACTTTCATTTTGGCAGGGACGTTAGCTTTTTGATTCCAGCCGCTTTACGCCAACATCTCTTTGCGAGTGTCTCTAACTTTCATTATCACTGGGAACAGAGGGGCGTGCAAGACTTTGTTGTGCTGATGGAGAGAAATGTGACATCCATAATGCATTTCCTATTAGAGGACGCCACGCTTGGACACCGCTGGCCATGTGTCAGAGGGAGATGGACAGGCAGAGGAGGAGTACAAATGGGGCGATTTTGGAGGAGAGGAGAGAAAGAAAATAGTTGGCCGCTCCAGTAAAGATACCGATGCAGCAGCAAACAGAGAGGGAGAGAGAGACAGAGCTGAAGCTTGAGTGAAAGGAAGAACGTGTTCTTGAGAGACTGTGTCAAGGTTCGGAGAGCCACAGGACATGCAGCTCTTCATGTGACACATGAAGTCCACATAAAACCGGCTTTCCTGGTGCATTGTTGCAACGAAACCAAATGCTTTGAACATTTAAATCCTCTCCTCTCACTTCCATGACCACATCCGTCCCCATTTGCTTCTGTTTCCTCTGCCGCGTGTCCATCTGCCTCACGCGTTTTGCGGCTTTCACTCTGACCCTGGCTGAAGATGGATTCCCTCACCTCAAATGGTAATAACTTTGGTCCATATGCACACAGCCATCGCAAATTGATTGCTGTGTATTGCCGCAGGCCCTCCGTCGTCTCTCGCTCGCTGCTCTTCCATCTTGTGATTTTGCACGAGGCTGACTCCATGTCCAATTCGGCCGTCATTAAACGGCACCCCTGGGTGCTCCCCGTACGCAAACAAGCACATCCTAAACTCTCCCGAAGGCTCACTGACCCGTCTCCTCCTCCTGTCGGAGTCCCTCTCCAACCCTCTTTGTCCAAAGCTCGCTCGAAACCAGCTAATCCTTCACCTGTTTTACCCTCAACCCTTCATTCCCTTTTGTTCTCGTTCTAATTATACCATTACATTACCATTTCTATTCTCTCATTAGCATTTTCTGCTCACCCTGTCTCCTGTTCTTCCCCTCTCTAATTCTCTTTTTTGTTCCCCCCCCCACCCTCTCTGTCTCCCTCACCTTTTCCCTTTCTCAGACACTGAATTCCTTCCACCTTTTTATTTTTCGCTGCAAGTAAACATACAGTGCCCTTGGGGATGGGTTGGAGAGCTCTGTCTTTGTTTGTGTGCACCTCTAACTAACTCTCCATCTGCGGGGAGCCCAGCCCAGCAGGGCAAGACAGATAGCTGGCACCCTCCCAACCTCTTCTCTAGTTGGCCCCATGCCTACACCCCCGCCTCTCAACTCCTACTTCCTCGCTGCCTACGGTCCTCCCACAGAGGCGGTTGTCTGCCGCCCTCGGGCAGCCGCTAAGGTACTGTAGACGCCCCGCGGCTCCTTTTACTCCAAGCCTCAAACCAAAAATCTGCCGCAGCTTCCAATGGATATTCAATCCTTTCCGAGCCACATGCTGTGAATATTCGTCACCGGACTCTCCTTAAGCTCCATCCCCAGTCGACCCAGGGATCCCCTGCAATACCAGCTCGCTTCAGGGACGGGATAACCAATAGCGCATTTTTGGTTATTGGCCACATCAAAGAGCTTTCAAAGGGAGAGGTACTTAAGCATTAGCTTCAGTTGAAAAACACAGTTTCATTCATGTGACTGCTTGAGGCTACAACTTGCAAAGATGTACAATGTCATATGTTGTTTTCCGTCTCGTCACTTGGTGTGACTGCAAGTACACAACCGTTATACAATCATACACAAGCAGCCTGAACCTCAGCACATGCTGCGTGCTACTTTCTCGCACAAAAATGATCAACTTATGCATAGTGATGGACGACCCCCCCCTACCCCCTCCCGCTCTCCCCCACAACCCCCGCGTGGGAAGAAATGCACTTAACTTACCATTGTCCGGCTCGGACTTCCTGTCATGCTCAGTGTCCGTGAGGGACAGGGCGGAGTTGGCGCGGCTCGTCAGGCACGAGCTCTGGCCGGACTTCAGGCCGCGCATCCACATGTGCTGCAGGCCGAGAGCGGGAGAGGGGTCCGCCTCGGGCTCCGTGTCCACGTCCGAGCCCACGCCCAGGGAGTAGCGGCTGTGGCAGTGAGCGGCCGGTCCGGAGCACAGAGCTTCCTCCTCGCCCTCCTGGTGCTGCTGCTGCTGCTGCTGCTGTGGGTGGATGTGGTAGTCCGGGCTCCTCATTGGCCCCACCTTGCAGAAGTCTAATTCTAGAAGGAAGTGGAGGGACAAGCAGAACGTGATCACACAGCCTTTGGAAAATGTGTTGTTATTTGCTTCAGCAGCTAAGCTGACCAGGTGTTTGTTAGAGGCTAAGAACAGCTACCAAATGATGTTGAGAGACGGGCTGTGACTTGAGCATGCATTTAGTACAAGTTCTGTAGCAGAAGTCCGGATCAAAATGCAAAGCTTGATTTTTCTTAACCATTTGCAGTGAAGCTGTATCCTGTGCGGGGCTGCCTGATGTGTGTTATCGAGCTTGAGACGTATTGAACTGCTGCTCAAACAGGAGCACTGATCTCATCTATATTCTCCTTGGTGGGGTGAAGAGATCAGATAAAGATCAAACCTTATTAATATTGACTCAGACTGAGGGAAAGATCGAGCCTCATATGCTTTCAGGTATCAGAACACTCTGCAATCCCGGGCATCAACCGGTTATCTGAGAACATCAGATATACTGCGTTTCTCCTCTGGTTTCACTTCAATTCAATTCAATTCAATTGAGCTCCAGCTTTTTTTTTCTGCAGAGGCAGTTGAGTAAATTTACTTCCTAGTCACCTCACTTTTCGTTTTGGAATGTATAAGTGGAAGTGATGGAATTTCTTAAAAGCGTGGCGTGAATTGAAATCTATACAGTTACTCCCGTAGCCCAGTATTACAGAGTCCAGCCCGAGACTTCCTCTCATGCTCACTAAGTGCAGTTAATATGTGTTAGGTCGGAGCCTTTGAACACGAGCCGCGGTGTTTCAATGAGCGCCGCGAGTCACGTTGACCACTCCGTTGAGCAGCAATGGGTCCTGCTGAGCCTGCTTGATGGGGTCGAGGCCAGCAGTGGCTAATACACTGTTCTACTGGAATTAAACTGGCACCAGATTGGTCACCGCTACACCACTGTTTGACTCAAATTGGCTGCAAGAGGGCAATCCAGGAGAAAATAGGCTACTTACCCATAGCAAGGAATATGGATTGACTGCAAACTGAGAAGCCGTTTTCTTTTGAGACCAATTTATATTTAAGCGGATGATTAAAGGAGAAATCATTTTTTGAATGACCTCCCATTTCCCGCCATTACAGTCAGCAACTCCTGACTCACGTCACTTCAGAGAAAAATGTACCATTTATGTTTTGAATTATTCTTTCCCCCTATGTCAGAATACCTGCCAAAACCATCTGGGTTCTACAGTACTGGATGTGATGAAATACAAACGCTTCTAAAGTCGGTTAATATCCACCCACCAACAAGGACCACCAAGCGACCAAAGTAGGCGACTTACAGTGCCCCGAATTGTGTGCTGAATTGTTTGCACGTTTGTCACACAATGTCGATGAGTTAATATTGTGTCATATTGTGTTGAGTGCAGTGACTGCGTGAGTCTACAACACTGCAGTACATTGTAACATTGTGGCTGCTGCTTCAACCCAGATGAGTTAAGTGGGGACTGCTGTTCTCTCTCTCTCTCTCTCTCTCTCTCTATGCAAAGATGTGATTAATGGCTAATTCATTATTTAGAGCTTATTAACAAGCAAAGAAAACTGATTGTTGTGGTTAGTTCTCTTAAGTACTTATGTACGTTTATTGAGCTCATACATACAGATATGTATGCATGTATACATGCATACATATATTATGCACAGTAAATCTGGTTGCGTTGTACTTTGTGTTTGACCACATCACTCCCAAAGGGACACTTGCTCTACTGAACACAAATTATTGATATATAGATGGATTATTGATATATAGATGGACTGTTTGTGCTGCTCCCTGAAAATAACCTGTTTATGCTGGTACCTAAAAAGAATGGAGATTTATATAATGTTTTGAAGGAGGGTAACTTATTTTTCACATTTTTTTTTTAATACATTTTGAGCATAACGTGTTTAAAGATGTTAATCATTGCCCAGCAGACATACTGTATAAATATCCAATCAATCGTATCTTTCCTATAGGAGCAGACCTTGTTGTGGGAGTAAATAAAACAGAGGAGGAATGCAAATATCAGGGACAATGCTGGGAAAAGGGAAGGAAGGCTAGGAAGGCTAGGAAGGGCGGGTGGGGCGAAGGCAACATGTGCAGGTTTAAAAGATGAAAGAAAATATGAAGAACATGGGTGGGGGATAGGAGGCCGCTCTTTGCCAGGAACACCGTAATCCATTTAAAACGTCACTGGAGGCAATGTCCCCCCTTAACAGTTGGCTACTTTAGGTAGGGTATGCTATATTTAACTCTGTTGCCCCTAAGATGAACAGATGTGTCTTGCAGCACCGCCTGCCATTGACATTTCAATGGCTGCTTTGGGGGGGTCTCTCGCACCTTACCATATGACACTGATGGCAGGGGACGTTGTCTGTTATGGAAACCAATTTTTTTTTTTTTAAAAGCAAACTCTCTCCGGCACACCGGCATGCTGACGTGATGATGACTAATGGCCATCGACGGGACTATGCTTAGCGAACAATAGGACAGAATCCATCGAAGGTGGCATTCAGACGCGAGGTGCGCCGGGCGGCGTTCTCGCTGGGAGTTGTGAACTGTTGTGAATGGCTGAAGTTGCTATTTAGCGTGGCGGGTCGGTTTCTGCATGGTAGCAGGAGGTCGGGGTGGCTGAAAGCGCATCTATCGATCCCTGCGAACGCTGCACAGCGGCGTTGTCGTGATGAGGTGCGGCTTCTCTCTTAACGGCCCACATGACCTGCATGAGGACCATCCATCACAGCTCGCGCTGGCCCATTTCTCCTCCTGTCACCGGCGGGGAGGATTTTTTCACTGTGTAAATGCGTGCGCGTGCTTCTGTCCGCACATATCTGTATCTGAGTGTGCGTGTAATGAAGGGATGGCGTTCCACCTCAGGTGAGGCCAGACAGGTTTGGGGGTTTGACCTAGTTTAGCTGTGGGAGAGAAATATCACCTCCGTGGAGAAGAGGTAATTGGCTGCCTCCGACTGTCCTTCTGGCTCATTGTGGACCGTAATGGGTAATTCACGTTGGCCCTTTCAAAGACCCCAGTGTGCGCGTCTTTGTGCGTGCATGTGTGTGTCAGCCATATGTGTTCCACAATCCATTTGCGAGCACACGCGGCTAAAGCCCGCCCTGAGCGAAGTACCTGGCTGGGGCTGGCTGTAGTTGCTCTGTCGGTCCCGGTGCGATCCGAGGGTGAGGCGCAGCTCGTGCGTGTAGTCGGGCAGGGTTTCCCGCGAGGTGTAGGAGCGGTGGTGGGCGCGGCCGTCCTCGCTCTCGTCCGACGAGCTGGTGTAAGACATCTCCATTTCATGGCGCCCCTTCGACAACGGCTGGTAGGGTTTGCTGTCCATCTCCTCCATGGCTTGTAGGCCTCTGCTCAGTCACTCAGCGAGGCCACGGCACGGAGCGCAGAATCTGCAGGTGAGAGAAGAAGTAAGGTAAGGGAGGGGGGGGTATAGTGGGGGAGGCCGGAAAACACGGTTGGAAGGAAGAAAGATGGTCCGTCGGTGGGGAAATGAAGGGGAGCAGTGGACAGGGGAGACAAATAGTGCTTATGTTATTGAACATAGTGGAACAATATTGCAATATCTGCTCATTCCAGTTACAGCGGACATTTATAAACGCTGTTTGGCTTTTTTCATGTTTCACACCAAAAGGTTAATCAATACGCTCAGAAGGGACCGAAAGGGCGGCCATCGCGTCCAGTTGTTGTTTGAAGAGAAATTGGGCAAAATCATGCAGTTGTGCTTTGGTTTTTCTCCAATTGTGGTTAAATCAACAAATTTGTGAATACATGTCCTCGCCAGATTCCAAAGTGACCATGAAACACGCCAGTCTTTACAGCGTCAATTCATGTTCCCTCGCTCCTCCCTGGACCCCATCCGGATCTATCTCTCACAACGTGTGGCGTGATGTGCGCATGCGGCCACGGCTAATGTTCGATTGGGACGACAATTACGGCACACAAGAAGTTATAAGAAAATGCTCCATTCATATTAGTTCTCTTTCACCGTGCCCTGCCCTCGGGCCTTACCAGCCTATTTCCTGCAGATATAAAGCTTCTAAATGGAGCTTGAGAGGGTCATTGCTCATAGAGACAAAGTGCTATGGTATTGACCTCTTCAGGGAGTCCTGTAGTCCATATATCAAAGCCATTAGAGCGTGCCTGCTCAATACCTCAGAGATCTGCTGCACAGGGTGATCACCACCAGTCTGATACAAGTTTACAGCTGACCTTTCTACCACCGCAGTAATGCTTTTATTCCACCTGAAAGACTCCTTAGCCTGGCCTCAAGCTCACCCTCCTCATTGCCCGCATGCGCGCCTAAGCGCGCGGACCACCTGCCGACCGCTGACAGCAAACAGCCGAAAAACCATCCAAGTGGCTCGCGCGTTCATCCGCCACACACGCGCACCCTGCAGACATTATCGCAGTGCAGATGATGTGTAAAAGCTCCACACGTATGCATCCATCACCTGCGTTTTTTCTTCTGTAATGATTTCGCATGGCAATGCCTCTGAAAACACATTTTGCCATTTCCCATTACCTGCTGTAGCAACGGCGCACGCTCCCGCGTGACGCTCACGCACTTGTAGCGAGCGCGGTCGCCCCTCATTCTGATTGGCAGGAGTCGTTGCAAGGAATCAAAGCCGGCTATTATCTCGGCTGCCCTGTCAGAAACGGGATTGACTGGTGTCACCTTCTCTCTGGCGCGAGTATACATTACCCTGTGAGCTCCGAGCTAGCTGCAGGCACCGACTGTCGTCTGCCTCTGCGGAGGCTCTCTGTCCTGTTTTATGTCTGTCACGCGCGAGAATGAAAGCATGCGATCCTGCACACAGACGCACCATCTCGCCCGCCCAACCCCCTTTTTCTCACACAGAGAGCCGTAGTAGTAGTGAACATTACGCTTGGGGCATTTAGTCCTGCTTGTGCATCGACGTCTATGATGTCTTGTTTCCTTTAAAACGCACCTTCCTTCCTGGTTTAATGCCTTTCTTGTATCAACCCACCTCCTCCTTCCCTCTCATCCTCGCCCTACCTTACACACTTTCCACCCTCAGTCTCGTCCTCCAAGGCCCCTGCATTTAGAGAAGTAAGCCTGCTAGCGGGGGTTATTCTCGCTAATTCTAGGCCACAGTGGGGTGCCCATTAGGGGGTTTGATTCTCGGTTTTGATGTCAAAATCTGGTGGTTGTTTCCTAGAGCCAAGCTCACTTGAAACAAGACACATGGGCGTTCGGTGAGACAAGTCAGCGCTTGCCACCTGAGCACAACACTAGCCGAGATTTGCAACTGAGGAACGACTGCCTTGGAGGCGAAGCGGGGCGCCATAGGCTCGCTATGTGTTACTATTCATAGGAAACGCTCCCAAGGACGACCCTTCAAAGGTCTGATCACGTCAGACCAATTAGCATCATGCCACACTCAATCTTTAATACCAGAATTGTCTCAAAACCTGTGCTACACAGATATGTAACATCCCTCTCATCATTTTTTCATGTACATGTAGAGCAGGGGGCCAAACGGTGCTCTGACGGATCCCTCTGTGAAGCCGAGTGCTGAACTGATGGCATCACCGTGCTGCCAGTTGCTAACAACGGATCTCAATCCTCTCCATGCAAGACGTAAGTATGTAAAATTCATCGACTGTAATGATTTATGCATTTCATCTACTGCACTAAGCACAATACAGTGCAGCGCGTCGGAAGGCTTAGTCGCTGACTCAAGGCTCTCACGAAATGCAGCAAAATAAAAGGCGGCGGATCAAAAGATTTGAGATCAACTTGTGCGCGTTTGTTTGCGCTGCAGATGAATGAGCGAGCAAGGGGTTGTATGCGACCACTACGTATGTTTATGTCGTGTGCAATTTTGTTTTGTAATTTCCTCCTAATCTATAATTCATCAGCGTGTAATGGACTATTCATTGCTCGGTTTAAAATGAATACAAAGTGACAACACTGAGTGAAACACATGGATCGCATTAAATTATCAAGCCCCCCCTCGCCCCTCTATACTCTGCTAACTCTTTTATTCCGTTATCTTTCACACAGACACACACACGCACAGTGTGGAGTGAAAATCCACGGCTACGCAGTTACGCGGCTACTTGACCCCCTCCTTTCCACCCATTGGCTCAAAATGTTGCACGCATGGACCAGTGGACTGTTTTTTAAATGTATTTTGCAAATCTGCTCAGAGAAGTGACAAAGGCTCTCTCTCACACACACACACACACACACACACACACACACACACACATGCAGTTGCTTTCAAACAGGATTTACTCTCCATCCCCAGAAGGGGCGGGGGGCCCTAAGATGTCCCACCACAACAACAACAACGGCACGAGCACGGCCGTGTGTGAAGGACCATGTGGACAATTCAAAACCGATTTAAGCTTTGCGGTCTCACATAAATGACCGGAGATTGTGACGAACAGAAAGAGAGAGGGAGAACATGCACGACGGGAAACAGAGCGGCGGAGAGAGAGTGGATTGGGGCCGTGGCAGCGGCAGAGCAATTGAGTTACACATTGGTAAATAAACAACGGGGGATGTGGAGAGCAGAGAGCCCCCCCAACAATATTAACTCCTCCTTTTATTGATACAGTATAGGATTATTAATACATTTCCACCATGCAGAGAGGGTGTTTATTATCAAAACCCTCCAGAGAGTAGGGAGCTACTAGCCTTTGTTAGCTCTGGCTTTTACACATTTTCCATGAAGCTTGTTTGCACACAGGGCGAGCTAATCCCGCTCACTGAATAGGCCTTGGCCCAAAGAGAAACCTCGTAGAATATATATATATATATATATATATATATATATATATATATATATATATATATATATATATATATATTCATGTTGAAGCACGAGCCGTTGCCGCCCCAGATGCTCCGAAGTGATGTCACGACAGCTCTGGGGTTGTTTGCAGGTTTGGATATTTTGTCTAACGTTGCAGTCGCTTAATCATACGAAGGAATGGAGGCGCAGTCTGGAGCTGCAAATGTAGATCCAGGCGGCAGGTCCTGCGGGAGTAAACAGTGAGCTGCCAGAGAGAGATGCCTCTACTGGTGCGAGGGTGTGTGTGTGTATGTATAAATATATGTATGTAGATATACTTTATATAGTGTGTCTGTGCGTGTGAAAAGATGGCTGGTAAAGCTGTTCTATTCGTTAGCATTTGCCGTAGTTCCTCCGGCATATGACAGGGGCGAGGGGCCCCTGAAGGAGCCGCAGGGCCTTGTTCTACCTCAACCAACCCGAAACACAACGGAACAAGTACGGCGAGAAGAGGGAGGTGGGGGGGATGAATGGAGAATGTGGATAAAGAGAGTGATGGGTAGATAATGAGAGATGGAGAGATTTCACAGTGAAATGGGGAGAATTGAAGGATGGAAAGATTGCCAAGTGAGACATGGAGTGATAGAGGGTTTTAATTAGTGGATAAGGGCCGGCTATCTGTGGGCAGTGGCAGCAGGCTCCTCACGTAGTCGTGCTTTCACAGCCAACCAAGCCTGAAATCTCTCGCCGCTAATGCCGTGTTTACCAGCAGAACTCGTATCGTGGTGTATAACCACACACACACACACACACACATGACAGGACCTCTCTATACAGTATCCCAGATGAAATTGAAAGATGAAACACAAGCCGGCAAAATAGCCATGGATAGACACACACTGAGTGCCTCTCCTGCGCCCCCCCACACACACACACACACACACATACAAACAGCCTTTCGCTCTAACTGGCGAATAACACACTCGAACACCCACGTGTCATGAAGGATCAACACGGTCTATATGGGCCTTTTCTGTGAAGGGAGAGAACCTTTGCTCACCTTTCCTCCAGCAGTGTCTTTGCCATTCAGCCACCAACGCTGCCGCCTACCTTCATTATTCCTCACACCGCAGCACCCAAGGTTAACGCTTGTGTGAACACAGAGAGTCGCATGGGCGACACAACGGCCCGGGCCAGTCGACGTGCGCGAGTCGAGAAGTGGGGCTAATTCAATGTGATTGTGGTTACACAATGGGATCGTCACGGGTTTAATTCGCCCGTAGTGTAAAAATAGCACGTTGTTCTCCCACATAGACTACTTTTTTATTGGATTACCACACGACTTGCTTTATTGTGATGTCTATCGCCATCGAGATACTGCGAAGCAGAAAGAATAAGCGAGCGCATGTCCACTCGCACTGCGGATCGCCTGTAGCTGCCAGGACCCTGAGACGCCATCCTGGACTGTTGGACTATTTATAGCTGAATATGAGTAAAATCCCACATCCCCGTTGCACGCCTGAGCGGTGTGATGAAATCCATAAGGTCCTAAACTATTCATGCCCTCTGAACGCTGCCTCCAGCGAAGGCTTTAACTTCTGAAAGGCTGTTTTTGTACATCCTGA